AAAGACAGAAAGAAAGAAAGAATGACAAATTTGAAGATCAAAAGGTTATTGGCTGTCTCTAGTCTCTACGACTTCTTGTTGTGAAATTACTTGTTTTGTTTGTGATCACTATTCCAAAGATAATTAAAAGACACATTGCGACGTATATCCTTTTACCGATGTAAAAAAAAAAAGGTGAAACTGCTTTTTTTAGCCATTAATACACTTCTGTGGATGATTAAATAAAGAAAAGGGCTATTCAACTGAATCAACTCCTCCTTGGAAACGTACGAAAATAACGTGACCAATTTTTTCCTTCTAATTGTGGGAACGACAAGTTTTGACATCCAACTGTAAGTATCGTTTTTTCTTGATGAATAAAACTCATGGCGAGCTCTTTTCATTGTTTCTGGTCTCTTCCAGTTTAATTGTTTCGAGTGAAAGAAAGGTGGAAGTATTTATCTTATATTGAAGGGCAAAGCAAAAATTAGAAAATTCATAGGAGGCATCCTGGCACATATGGGGCATTGAGAGAAGATGTAAATTTGATGGAAGGCCAGGAGGACTCATCGACAAGGAAGACAATTTCGGAATGTGTGGCTGCGAGGGTATAAATCAGGATCACCGTAGGGACTTAAGGTACGACAGCGGATGTCAACGATGGCGAGCAGAAGTTTAATATATTTGCTTGTGCATTTCCCGTAACCGGCGTGCGAAGTTTCCCGCCGTACCTATGTTGTCTGCGACGTCAAAACGAAGTGTTTGTCTTTTGTCTAAAACGTAAGTGAGTTTCTCTTACTTTAAGGTCATTTTAAATGAAATTATCGCGTATTTTCAATCCATGTTGAACTGTCAACATTTTTCCTAACTTGTGACAAATGCAAATGGTTGTAGAACTCATTTAAAGGCGAAAACTGACCGAAGTTTCTTTCTCCTTCTAAACAGCTTCAAAAGTTCGTAAATCAAATAGGCTTAAATGGAGACGAGTTCAAATAAAACACTCCAGTAAGTTGTTTTCAGTTCATATTCCTAATGAAAAGTTCGTAAATCAAATAGGCTTAAATGGAGACGAGTTCAAATAAAACACTCCAGTAAGTTGTTTTCAGTTCATGTTTTTAATGAATATTAAAACTAAACCAGGAATTTAATCTTGATAATTTAACCGAGTTTGTTTAAGGAAAAAATCGCTGAAGCTAGATGTTATTGTGGTTTTTCAGATCAAACATGGGGTGGACCGAGGAACATGACAACTGCTTGTGTCAAGAAATTTTAGTACTTGAACCCAAAAAGTACAAAAAAGGAAGCATTTCTAAAGGCAACATCAGGGAAAAATTGCAAACAGTTTGAACGGCCTTAAGTTTCCCCGATTCAAAGACAGTAAGCGTGCTGTTAGAGAAAGATACATACTGCTGAGCGAGAAATTTAAAGCAAAGGTGAAAGACGAAGAGAAGGCAAGTGTGAATGTCATTTGAGTGGGTTGGAAAAGGCTCTGGAAGAAAAAGCCGCTGAAGAGATCGTAGAAAACGATAAGAAGAAAACTGACAACGCAAAAGCAGCGGAAATGAGAAGCAGAAGCTCTAGAAGACCTAAGCGGAACACAGAAAAGGCAGCGGAATGAAGAGGAGAAGGAAGTGAAACCAAAGCAAAAAAAGTCGTAGAAGTGGAGGTGACAGAATTGCATATTTGTGCGAAAAAATGATCGCGTTCAGAAAAGGAAAGAAGGAGAATTGCAGCTGCAAAAGCAACGAGTTGAAGTTGAGGGTGAACAGGAAGATCAATTAAGAAATCAATATCAGAATATGATAAAAGTCTTGTTGGAACAAGCTACGCAGGCACTTGAGCAGATGCAAAGTTTTTCAGCTGATGTTTACCTTAGAAAAACAAAATTAACTCGGCTTAATTTTGCATAAAGATATTAATAATATCTTTGATTTTGCTGTGAATACTTGCTTCAGCATTTAAATGATTTATCAGATAAGTTTATATTTGACGGTCTTGTTTGTTTGTATAACAAACTGTTTGACTCTTTGTTGTACAACTCTATTTGTGGTGCTATTTCGGCACCTCTGTAAGGGACCTGGAGGTGGGCACGCAGAAGGGGTCACCATACGCGGCCATTGGTTCTCTTGTTGTAGAGAGGCCATGCCGCTCCATATCGTGAGGAACCCTCTTAAAGAGATTAAAAAAATAAGGGTTTTAGTTAGCTGAGGTTAGGGTATACAGTTTTAAATCTCAACCTCAAGAAAAAGAAAAAAAAAGGAAGAGCAACTAATCAGATTAAATCAATTACATACTGAGCCGTATATGTTGGCTATCATACCATTAGGTAAGACAACAGAGTGGCGCTTGCGACTATGCACTTGTTATGTCTTATAAACCAACCTCTCATTTTCATCAGGTCGACAAATGGGCTTTATTGCTCCGTCTATAAAACCAAAGCAATTGAGTAATGCTCTTCCTTTAAATTTATCGCACGGGCATAGTTTTCAAGAAGTGGAGGGTTCGGCAGTGTATTGTTCCTCTGAGTTATTCTATGATTGTGCTCTTGATAGAATGTATCGATCACGTGGTTGGAAATCATACTAAGTTCCGGAACCGGCCGACCAAATCGTGGAATTAAATCACTGTATCTGCATGGGTAAGCAAATCGTCTCGGTGTTATACGAAGCGCTTCTAGCCCATAACAAATGGTTCCTTGGTGACACTTGAAAGACTGAGGGAGCTCAAGGCCTCTAAAAGGACAGGAACCTCATTCTTATGAAATCGATACTCAGTCAAACACTCGCTGTCGTCCATCTCATTTAAGTCGAACGCTCCATAGCAATAATAAGGGAAATCTGGGTTTTTTGAGATGTTTTCATCTTAAAGAATAAGAAATTCGTCCTTGGAAATATCATCGTCATCAGCACTTTCGAGGAGAAGTTTAAGCATATCTCTAAAGAATGAAAAAACCGACAGCCTGATATGGGGTGGACTGCGTCTTCCACGAGTGTTCTTAATGTTAATTTTCGCGTCTTACGAGGGTGAACTCTCCCCATTCCCCCCAGTTCACGACCTCGCCGTCGTATCTTATGGTCCTTTATAAAAAAGAAAACCACGACGGCGACGAAAACGAGAACGAGGTGCAAAAAAAAGATCTAATGAGCAAAGCAATAGCGAAACACGAGCGTTTTAAAACTTTGCACATTTCTAAGCCGTCCCATACAGAATAAAAACATGAAATCACCAACTAAAACGTTCTCTCAACAAGGTTACTTCCACAGTAATTCAGTCACCTTCTTTACTTTGAACTCGACACCACATTCACAAGTTATGCCGAAGTTAAGATGTAGTACCATCAAAAACGGTTAAGGCATCGAGCTATTGGTAAGAAACTAGAGGAAAATTAATAAAGTTTTTTTCAGCAACGTTTTACCACACGTCGCTGTAGTGAAATCTTAAACTCCCGAATAGCCTTTCTCCATGCAGTCGCATGATTCTGTCACGTTTTCCAAGAACATTACTTCTAATGTTGGACTTGAGAAAACAAAACAGAAATAATAAAAGAAGTCGCTTTTTTAATGAATTTTGAGACTCGAAGAAATAAAGGAATCGATTTTACTGTAGAATCTTTTTTGTGGTGGTCCTGTCGGTCAAATGATGAAATACGTATTGACTCAATGAGTCTGATGGGGTCGGACGAGAAAAAATATAATTTGAATAAAAACGAACGCGATATCGGAGAAAGATTGCTTTGGTTATGGATACTCTGCGAAGAATAAATTTGTAACGGAGAAAAATGATCGCGATTATACACACAGTTTAGCCTTTTTCACTAAGCATGCAAACCAGCTGTGCCGCCACTACTGCCGTCTTAGTTATTGTTGTCTATATCAATTAGTGTTCTTGCGATACGTTTAGGCTCAGGAGGTCACTGGTAGTTTAAATTATTCCTACAATTTAATGTTGGATAGTTCTCATTTCTATTTTATTAGGAAACGGTGGATGGCAACAAACAACCTTTGTTCTACCGACCTTGTTTTTTATGGCTCGCTGTAGTGGTCCTGGTGTGTGGTTAATGACTCCAGAAAAACAATCATTGTTAACATGAGCCGAAAGAAAGCTAAGCTAAAGAAAGAAAGACGGGGACACTTTGTTAACTGTCCCAGAAAAGTTGAGGACTTTTGACATGAAATGTTAAAAGATTCCGACATTTAAAAAGGTTAATCAAATTTTGACCACCGCTTTAAATGTGACGGATTTCATTTATTTCATGCAAATTTATACTTGTGAAGAACTCTGTGTCAACAGTATTGCAATATCTTATCCATTGTTTATAGCGGGTGTCTTCTAGTTAACGTCTTAATTGATTCATTATCGTGTTTTTCTATTATTTTTCAAGTATAAAGGTGCATCGATATTATCGAACATACATATCGTTTCAACAACATCTGTTCGCTCGCAAACCTTTCTCGAAGGATTTTACTGAAGCCATAAAACGAATCGACATTTCAAGGTAAGTGCAGAGAGATGGTACTCCGTTAAAACGAAATGTTTGTTACTGAACTACTGAAGGGGAGAGACAACATGTAATTTGTTTCTACTCCGTTGATTAAACAAAACTCATGCGGCGTGACGTATTCGATAAGTTCAAAATTACTTTTTTCTACTATCGACACAGCAAAATATATCTAGTGCGCCATGCACACTGTAGCTCAGATTCTCATTTCAACATCGCCTAATTTTCAATATTAGTTATTTAATCAGTCACCGAGATATTCGATCCCGGAGAACGATGGTCCCTTTCTCAATAAGCATTACGTAATCACTTTCGTGTCAAAAGAAGAGAAAACCTGAAGGCCCTGGTTAACACCTTGATCGTAACCTCAGGTCGAGTCGCGTTTACACCGTAGTACGATCCCCTATTCACGATTTTTTGCCTTTTTTTCTAAGTAGACTCCGATTGCTACTAAATTTTAAATGCCTCGGCATAATTATGGAATGAAGATATCCATCTCATTTATACGTTTTGAAGGTCCAGCATGAGTGTTCTTCGTTATCTACATGCGATGTTTTTGGCATCTCAGCTCACTCACACCAATAAGGCGCAGCCAACAGTAAATTGTCAAAACTTCAAGTTTGTTATCGATGAGCATGTCGTCTATAATCACATTCTTGAGGGTCACGTGTTTCAAAGATTGACAGTCCACAGCGCCACCCAGTGTCACATGAAGTGCAAATAATTACTGACCCTCATAAAATCCTATTGTTCTCTCTCAGCATTATATCGGCGATTTCAGCCTGAGAAAATATTCATATTCAGTCAAGTCCAACTGCCTGAGGAAAACGGTGGCGGTCCTTTTTGGTAGCAGGGAAATTATCAGGGGTAATCCTAAACGCGCTACGTTCAATATTGCAGTGGGCTGGCTGCACTGCAATATTTTTAATAATGCAGCCTGCTTCCAGCAATATTTTTAATATTGCTGCATGACTGTGGTATTTACTTCGTTACTTTTCCACTCAGTAATTTTTGAAAATTCGCGAATGTCCGCGCATAATTTATGATGAAGATCTGAAGTTAAAAAGTAAATGAATACACCATGAGAAGTACCATTCCAGGAGACGTACAGACGAAAACATTTTACAGTTTATTTAGGGCACATCTGACAATGACAGTCTTTCTCACTTGTAAGAAATAACAATTTTCGTACTGTGAGTACTAATTACAACTGACTGATTATAATCTTCGCTCTGGTTTTCTTATGAAAATGGCAGATTCGTCTTCCGAAGAATCCTCCATCAAGCTTCAAAACAGTAGCAACTCTTTGCCTTCCAACAAACAACTCAAATAACCAAGTGCATTGCGTTAATATACAATGCAAATTACGTTTGCATGAAATTCAATCACACACCTGAAAGATGTGGAAAGTTACATAATCTTTACAAGGATTTAACAATGACTAAATTCCGGGAAATGAAAAGGGTTATGTAATTTGTATAACTACTAGACAATACGTGCTAATTGCATTGTTAGAGAGAGAAAATAGTAGGATTTCATGAGAGTCAATGATTATATCATCTTTGCAAGTAGTTAACAATGGCTGAATTGGGGAATGAAAAAGGATTATGCAATTTGTATTATTACTGGACAATGCTTGCCAGTTGCATTGTTGGTGTACCAAAACATCAATATGAAGGGGCGACTGAAATCGTCGATGTAATGCAGAGAGAGAACAATAGGATTTCATGAGGGTCAATAATTATAATAGTTAATTACTGAGGTTCGCAGCATTATTGGGTATAATGCAGGCAGCTGAGGCCTGCGGCCTCAGCTGCCTGCATTGTACCCAATAATGCTGCGAACCTCAGTAATTATCTATTAAAGATTACTGCCTGTGTGTATCAATGAATTATTTCCCTCCGTCCGATGAAAATAACTGCGGGCTCAACGATGCTAATAAAGAAATGGAGCCAGCGGCGATGAAATGGAGTCAAGGAGGAAATTATTATGATTTGGTGAGAAGCTACACGGTGAAGGTGAGATAAGATTATTTATTTAATTCCTTATTCATTTATTTATCAACTTTCGTAAATAAAATAAATATTCCCACATGATCAAGTTTTCCGGTACTCCTTAAAAAAGAGGTGAGTTATATGTCAGTCCGGGCCAAAGACAATTTTGGGCATACTGTTTAGTCTGCGACATGATCGGTCTAGACAAAACAGAAACAAACTGATTTGGCTGAGAGAGGATTGGGTTCATTCTCTTTCTCGCAAACTTTTTTGATAGAATTGTCCTAGTTTTTCTTCTCACTTACATTTTTATCACAACATAGCGCGCTTGCAAGGCCTACCTATATCCTAAGGGGGGTACCGTGATAAAAATCCTTATTATATACCTTGACTTTCATTCAACAAAACGAGGACTGTAATTGGTTAATTCTTAGTCACATGCCCCTGATAAAATTCAAATGTATCCCGACCGGGATACAATTGCGCAGTTGTTGCCCGCACGCCGAATGCAACAGCATGTTTTTGCCACATGATTGTCTGAGGGAAAGTCTAAATATATAACAAAACACTTAATGTATATTTAGTGCTCGTCATTGCATCCATAACATGAAGTGTGCAGTTTCACTTCGGCTAAAAGTCCCGTCTAGTTTAGCCCCAAGAATTCAAAACTATCACTGCAGATTGTTTTTCCGTTCTATCCCGATTGAGATAGACCTTTGTAGCTCAAAAGGAAAACAAAATATGCTGAATAAGACTCGTTTCGAAAAAAACAATGAGTAAGTAGCTCTTCGAGCGACATAATTAGTTTCAGAGTTGACAATATTTTATTTACAAACGCGATGAGAAGTATGGCTGGAAACAGAACTGAGTTTTCTGACTTCAACTGAGACTTTGCGACGCAGCGGACTCTTCTTTAGAGCGGAAAATATTGTTTTGAAGCATTGACATGTACCAAAGTTTTGTTGAATGGAATATTTTGTTTTAGAAATCGTACGATTTTCAGAATTTTTAGTTCAAAGCTAGGCAATTTTCGGGTAGTAAATTTTAGTAAAACAAATCTACCACACGTGCCTCGCAAATGTGAGAAATTTATAAGCTTTTGCTTGCACAGGACGAAATCACACGTTTCCGTATTTCTGAAACGTGGCGGAAACATGCAACTCCATGTTTCCGTTATGTTTACGTCTTACGGAAACGTGAAAATTAAAGTCTACGTGTTTCCGTCACGTTAACGGAACGGAAATGCCAAGTCACGTTTCCGTCATATTTAAGCCAGCACATTTCCGCTGTTGTTCGTTTCCGTCATGTTTCTGCAAACGGATTTGCAGTTTTTTGCTACATCTTACCAAAACACAAACGCGAGATGGTTCTTTGAACAACAAGGAATCTTAATGCGACAGCTGTGTTATTTAATCCGGTTAGGCCAAATGAGACAGTTGTGTGACTTAGGTCGGTTGGTGCCAATGAGACAATTGTGTCATTTGATCTGGTTGACCCAAATGAGACGAGTTGTGTCATTTGATCCGGTTACCCAAAGAAGACAGTTGTGTGCACTGAGCTGGTTGGGCCAAAAGACACAGCCAAAATTAGACATTGTATTATTTGAGCCAGTTTAAGGCCAAATGAGACAGTTGGGTGATTTGCGCCAGCTGGGCCAAATGAGACAGTTATGTAATTTAAGTCGGTTGGGCCAAATGAGACCACTGTGTCATTTGATCTGGTTGGCCCAAGTAAGACAAGTTGAACTGGTTGTGCCAAATGAGACAATTGTGTCATTTAATCTGGTTTGTCCAAATCAGACAGTTGTGTGATTTGAGCCGGTTGTATCAGATGAGACAGTTGTGTGACTTGAGCCAGTTGGGCCAAATGAGACAGTTGTGTGATATGAGCCAGTTGGGTCAGGTGAGACAGTTGTGTGATTTAAGTCGATTGGGCAAAACAAGACAGTTGTGTGATTTAAGTCAGATGAGACGGTTGTGGGATTTGAGCCGGTTGGGCCAAATGAGACAGTTATGTAATTTAAGTCGGTTGGGCCAAATGAGACCACTGTGTCATTTGATCTGGTTGGCCCAAGTAAGACAAGTTGAAACGGTTGTGCTAAATGAGACAGTTGTGTCATTTAATCTGGTTTGTCCAAATGAGACAGTTGTGTGATTTGAGCCGGTTGTATCAGATGAGACAGTTGTGTGACTTGAGCCAGTTGGGCCAAATGAGATGGGCCAAATGAGACAGTTATGTGATATGAGCCAGTTGGGTCAGGTGAGACAGTTGTGTGATTTAAGTCGATTGGGCCAAATGAGACTGTTGTGTCTTTGATTTGGTTGGCTCAAATGAGACAAGTTGTGCTAAATGAGACAGTTGTGTGATTTAAGTCGATTGGGCAAAACAAGACAGTTGTGTGATTTGAGTCAGATGAGACGGTTGTGGTATTTGAGCCGGTTGGGCCAAATGAGACAGTTGTGTCACTTGATCTGATTGGGCAAAATGAGACAGTTGTGTGATTTGTGCCGGTTGGGTCAGATGAGGCGGTTGTGGGATTTGAGCCGGTTGGGCCAAATGAGACAGTTGTGTCATTTGATCTGATTGGGCCAAACGAGGCAGTGGTGTGATTTGAGCCAGTTAGGCCAAATGACACAGTTGTGTGATTTAAGTCGGTTGGGCCAAATGAGACCACTGTGTCATTTGATCTGGTTGGCCCAAATAAGACAAGTTGAACCGGTTGTGCCAAATGAGACAGTTGTGTCATTTAATCTGGTTTGTCCAAATGAGACAGTTGTGTGATTTGAGCCGGTTGGATCAGATGAGATTGTTGTGTGATTTGAACCAGTTGGGCCAAGTGAGACATTTCTGGGATGTGAGCTGGTTAGGCCAAAAAGAGACAATTGTGTCATTTGAGCTGGTTAAGCCAAATGAGACATTCATGTGAGTGGAGTGGATTGGGCAAAATGAGACATTTCCGAGACAGTTCTGTGATTTGAGCCTAATGACACTGTGGTGTGATTTGAGCCTGTTAGGTCAAATGAGACAAATGTGTTTTGAGCCAGTTGTGTCATTTGATTAAGTTGGGCCAAATGAGACAGTTGTCTGATTTGAGCCAGTTGGGCCAAATGAGACAGTTGTACAAATTGAGCCGGTTGCGCCAAATGACACAGTTGTGTCACTTAATCAAGTAGGAGCAAATTAGACAGTTGTGTGATTTTAGCCGGTTGGGCCAAATGAAGCAGTTGTGTGATTTGAGTAGGTTGGATTAAATGAGACAGTCGTGTCATTTAACCGGTTGAGCCAAATAAGACAGGTGTGCCATTTGAGCCACTGTGGCCAAATAATATAGTTGTGTGATTGAGCCAAAAAGTTGTTATACCAGTTGAGGATGAGCCTACGTCAGGTACACAACTTTCTGAATTTCAGGTAATAGACCTGTAAATTGTTTTTATTAGTTCCACCAGTCACCAACAATACAAAAAAAACCAACAAAGAAATTGTCAGTAGATCTAACAGAATCAAAAGAGCAAAAACACCACTGAAAAGCCTAAGAAAGGCAAAAGCGAACAGCGAATGGCTAAGAATAAAATGTACATTTCCTTATTTGTTAACCGAAGTATCGTAAAAGGAACTCATTGATAACAACATTAATAATTAATCCCATACAAGGCCTTATAACATTGTCAATGTTCAATCAGTGTCACACAACACCAATTACCTAACAACTCTGAACTGCCTTTGGAGGTTTGGATAATTTAAAAGTTATAAACTCCCAACTGAGTTTGGTTTGTATAACTGTCAATTTAAAAATCTGAAGTTCTGCCAATCTCCCTTATTTGTGGATGACACTAAGTGAACACGAAAAAAGTTATTTATCACTCTCAAGAGTAATGTTTCTCATAAGTACATGATTATTGTGGTTTGGTATTATCCCTGGTTTAAATTTTCCTTTGTTTCAAACTCATCAACAGATATTATCATATCTAAACACAAAGTAAAATAAAATTTAAAGCAAGGTTAAAATTGAACCACAACAGCCACACATAGTTACCTAGCTAAACCTTACGAAGGTACTTAGATGTACTCTAAACACACCTGCATGTATCAGAAACAAAAGCATATAATAAATTTGGTAAATTATATAAAGTACCTTATTTTATGGCCGTGTCTCACAAGGACTGGAAACTATTCCTGAATTTGATTGGCTAAAATCAATACTGACCTTGGTCTAGATTTTCCAAACTATACCGGCATTTAAACCACATTTTAGTGTAAATTAAGGGTACATTTAAGTGGTGAAAAAACTTGGAAACAAAAACAAAAAATATTGACGACATTTTCTTCTAGTGAGAAATACTAAATGGAAGTGCAAAAATGCCTGACTAGAAAAAGTAGAGAGGACTAGCAAACTTTGAAAAATTTAAGTTCAGCTTATCACCATGCACAAGCAAAATGTCAGCTAATACAAAACACTTACATTACATGTAAACAAACAAAATTCTTCTTTTTGTCTGGCCATATAATAACATCTTATCAATCCCTTTTCAAACTCTCTCCCCCTGTTTGTAAGTTAGTTACAACAAAATTCTCCTGGAGATGGGAGACACGATCAAGTATTTCTGTCCTGACAAAAGTTTTTCAGCTGACAAATACTTTGAGTGAATCCTCTGGACAGGTAGAAATACAGATGGCCCTGAAGTCTCATAGCCTCTTGCATGCCAAACTGATAGTGGGTTCTTAAAGCCAAAGTCTTGTTCGGAAGGTTTCAGCCAGTTCACAACTGCAAAAACATGAACATATTGCTTTCTTTGAATTTCCAGACTATGGACTATGTCTTTTGGTCTGAATTTTATTTGTTTGGAATACCAATCAGTCAGAATCAATTTGCTTGTAAGCCATTAAATGAAACAAACCTGGCATAAAAAGAATAATTATGTATTTCTTACAATAACTATGTGTTTACATGTACTCTACCATCCTTCAACTCTCACATGACTCTCATTCTTATTTGGCCTATACAAAATTGAATAGAAATTCAAAATAAAAAGAAACCTGACGTGCATGTCAAGGATGGACCTGATAAATTTTGGGGTCGTTTGCTAATCAAAGATCTTACAGGTTTTTATTACAATTTTTTTGACAAATGCGCTGTTGTTTTCACATGTAAATGACAAGAGTCATTAACATGTGAAATCAAAACACACACCAAGACTTTTTTTAATAGCTTAGCTTTGAATGCTTCGAATGCACGCAGTCACATGTATCAATAGCTTACCTTCGCTATCACTGGAGCTTGATCCAGGGACATCTGGTATAGGCATAGATGCTTTAACTATCGTTAGATCGGCCACGGTTTTCCATTCTTTGAGTACTGGATTGAAGTACCGTTTACGACGCTCGTGGTACTGTGAATTGCTAAGTAACTGCTGACAGTGAGGACATCGTTGTCTACACCTTGATCGCCTCTTTTTACCACTTGTTTCGCCGTGTAAACCTTTTCTTTTCATTCTTTGCGATACTCCTGCGTTCTATAACCTAATATACCAATATAAATAACCAAAAACTTGACGAAAACTCTCTCCTCAAACTTGTGAATTCTCGTAAATCTATCTCTTTTCGGCGACGCATGCCGCTGCGGGCTCAGCAGACGGGTTTGTTGCCATTGACGACAATTGTCTGGTGACTGCGTCAAACTGGAGACGAGGCGGGAAATTTGCATTGTCTGGGCATTTGTCAAGTTGCGCGTGATTTCCAGTCGTCGTTCTACTGTGTATTTCCAATTTTTTCTCAGTTTTACTCCAACTCAGCAAAACCATGGAATCAGCCAACGCAGAAATGGAAGACAGAACAGTGCTTAGTGAAGAAACCCCGAGAGCTGCCCTGGAAGATCGAGATCTCTTGAGGCGATTGCTGGCCGAAGTTTCGGTGATCCGCAAAGAAAATCAGCAACTGAAAAGTCAAGTAACGAATCTTACGACAAAAACGAGAAGGCAACTCTTTGAGAAGTCCAAAGACAAAGATCCTGAGTGTTCGGTAAGTAATTTTGTCTTCTTTCTGGCTAAGCAACTTCGAAGTTACGGTCAAGGATGAGTGTCAGGAATCACAAGACGGTTTACCGTGTGTTGAAAATAGGTGTGAAGTTGGTGTTATGTAAGCCAACGGTAAGCTTAATAATTCCTTCATTGGTTAGCTGAAATCTTATCGTTAAAAGCAAATCAATCATTTTAAAAACTCGTCCAAGAAATAGTCACAAATTTGGTTAACAAAGTGCGGCTGATCGAAGAGACTCAGAGTGACAGTGTTGTTAACCTTTGCCAAATTGCCCCGCTTGTTGGCGACACGCGCGAGCGAACAGCGAACACCGTCGCGCGCGGTGAGGCGGAAAAAAGTTGATCCACATTCAAATTTTTCCGCAGACGTATGTGACATGAACATTTCCATTATGACATGAACATTTCCATTATCGCTATCGCGGCTTTCAACTTTTTCCGAAGGCGCGAGACGTACGTACGTTTGCTCTATTTTATATTAAGCAAGTAAACTAACTTTTAAAAGCTGAAGTATTAAGCTGCTTCCACAGAGCAAAGTCACTTAGATCACTTTGCTCCGATCCGAGGAGGAAGTTACGTTAAAAGCGACAGCTTTTTAAAAGTCCCAATTCGCTACGGCATTTTTAAAATTAATTTTGCTTTTATGAACTTCCAGCTAATAATCAACTTGCTGTTTTTAGTTTGTTTTGACATTGTTTTTTTTTTTTTTTTTTACAAAAATACAAGAATGCTGTCAGGAAAGTGTGCAAGGAACTAACAAAGGGTGAAGGACAAGAAGAAGATCAGGAGAATCAGCTTAACTTTGATTTGAGCGTCAGGTAAAACAAAACGGAGCTAATGTATAGTTACAGCTGAGGTGTAGTAGGCCGGCTACAATAGCTATTCGCTTTTTCCTCGACTTCAAAAAGAGTTGACCTGTTGTGTGGCGACGATGGAGGAGCTTTTAGTTATTGTTAAACAAGATCTTAGGCCATGCTAGCTTGCAACGTAAAAATAACTAAGTGAATTTTATACTTGTGGGCAACACATAGTGTAGGTAGTGCATGCATGCAATTAAGCAAGGACATTACGAGTGTGCTCTCTTTCCTTGGGTTATTAAAAAAAAAACAAGATTTCTCGATAGGGAAACAATAGGCTCGCCATGGTATAAAGCAAAACAAACAACAATCGGATAATTCGAAAACTTATCTCATTGGCTGTTTGATTGTTGCACTAAATTACCTGTCGTTATGATTGGCTATACAGTATGTGATCGCTTCTATTTAGTTTTGCTCTCACACCTTTAATTTAGCTGAGTAAAATTCTTAAATTGATATCTAATACCTTTTTCAGTTTTAATAGCCCAGAAAATAAGACTATGGCTAGGAGAGTGCTAAAAGAAGTCCGCTCAGTGTACGGCAAGGACAAGTGGACAAAGGCTGTCATTAAGAGTAAGTTGGTTTTTTTAGCACAAGCAAGTAATACCCGTTGGTTTTCTTTTTTTTCGCTTTTTGCAATACTACTCTACGTTTAGGGTTAGCGTATATTAGCACAGTGAACTGACTTGAGTGCGTTTATTTGGGATGATCCGAGATTACTCGGATCATGGTCAAATCCACTCTGAACAAGGATTCACCAGTTCCTTTGATGCACAGTGATCCTAATGGTCTCGGATCACCAATCTTGATCTGGATCATCCCATAGAAACGATTGAACTAACTGTATAGCTACTTAAATGAAATACGTATTTTACCAGTAAAGATAGAGAACGCCTTCAGAACTGCAAGAGCGTGCTTGCTGCTGTTTAAACTTTTTGTCGTTCTGCGCTAGTTAAATGAAACGGTCATGCTCTTAGTTATTTTTGATGAAACGTGACAGTAATGAACAGCACTGTTTCATTTTTAGGCGCGGTTCATCAATACTGGAAATCTCTTCGGGATGACAGAACAAGAAAAACAAATAAAAAGTTTGAAGAACATCGAAGTCAAATGAAGCAACAAAATCGATTAAAGAGAGTAAGTATCAGATTGATAACCATATAAGCAAATGTTCAGGAATGTTGAGCTTGATCCTAGCTATGCAACATCGCGTTACAGCTATTTATAATAAATGAATCCCTGTATTCGAGCTCTTTTCTATGGTTTAACACGATAAATACATATTTTGTCCTTGATAACATGTCATTTAATTAATTGTGTTGCTTTGTCAAAGAAACTTATCAATTTTTATATATACACTTTGTTTGGTATAATACTCACAATTTAAGTTGAAAAAGAAAAGTGTAATCTTTACCAGAGGGAAGTACATGTATATCTTGTAACAGCAAGGTGTCATTGGTGATAGCCAAAATGCTCCTTGCGCATTTTTTGACACTTTTGTTCTCTGTTTATATCGTTTAGAAACTATCAAGACGCCTTTCAAGCTTAGAGAAGGCTATCTTGTCGGACAACGACAAAGAAAAGGCAAGAGAAATTTTCTGTTCGCCAAATGCCATCGACTTCATGTCATCGGAAGAAAGCGACAACGATGATCCTGCTTCATCTAGGGGTCCGAAACCAAGGAAAGTACGTAAACTGGTGTGGGAGAAAAGTAAACTGAAGAATTTGAAAGCAAAACTGGACGAGGCCTATTTGGATGGACTTAGCGAAAAGCAGCGTCGTGCAAGTGCACGTTTGACCAGAACCGAAGAGCCATCTGTACGGCCTTGCCCCACCAACGGCCCTCGTTGGGCAATTCGGACCGAATAATTGGACTGAGAGGTTCCTAAGAATAGACATTATTTTAGAAAACACTATAAAGACGTTCATTGTTCTTGGCAAACTTTATGCCTGTTTTCATTTATAGTGCTCAGAACAGCCATTGTAACATTTGTTCAAAAGAAATTTGGAATGCGATTTGTTAAATGGTGAAAAGTTTTCTTTCCCAGTCTGACATAGAGACCAAAGTAGATGTATATACTACAAGTATTTTGCGAATAGTAGGCTCTGTAATGAATTGAAGCTCTATTTAACTACAACCTTATCTTATGGAAGAAAAATAAATGACGCTTTGGCAAAATATAGCTGTAGTATTTCTTTGACTGAAGGGGAAAACGCCATAAGAGGTGTTCTGTAAATTAATTAATAAGACTTTCCACCTACCATGAACATTATAAGGGTGCGTTTCGGAAAGAAAGAGGGAAAAAAAGGTTTACCAAAGCTAGAAAGTTTCCGCAAGGGTAAGATAAATTTGAATTAACACGTTTCCGAGACGTAAACCTCAGTTTCCGGAACGGTTTCTTGTTTTTCCGCAGGTTCCATCACCCATTCAGTAAGAATACGTCAACGGAAACATGGAAAAGACATGTTTCCGCAACGTTTTCTTGTGTTTCCGCAAATGAAAACCCGAAATTACGATTGCGGAAACATTTGTTTCCTTTAGCTGAAACTTGACGGAAACATGCACAAAAAGTGGTCCGGTTCCGTTGTAAACGCAGCAACGGAAACGCGAGAAAACGTCACGAAACCGGTAACGGAAACACAGGTTATCCGTCGTGTTTCCGGAACGGTTTAACATGTTTCTGCCACGTTTCCGTTTACGGATTCTTGCAATTTCGTCCTGTGTTGGTGATAGGTTGATATCAGTTCTAAGTGTTGATATATCCTAAAAGTATTGTTAAATAGCAGATTTTAATTTCAAAACCGTACAATTTCAGAATTCTCAAAATCTCTAACAGAAACATGCACAAATTTCTGGCGTCGAATTCTAGTAAACAACGATTGAAACATGTTGAATGCAAGAAATTCGTTCGTTTCTGCTTTTGAACAGAAAATTTACAATTTTTTGAATAAAGATTTGGTCTTAAAATATTTCTTGGTCATTTTTTTCCTTGTCGTTTATTCATAGTTTTCGGGTAGAATACGACTACCAGGTAAATCAGACAAAGTTGTAATGAACTCTTTTTTTCGAGCACAACTTGCATGCTATGTTATAACGAAATTTGTTCACGCTTTACCTATACCTCGAGTTTTGGATGCACTTGGGAGTTTGAGGAGCACTCAAGCAACCCTTACGCTTCTCTCGTGCTCTTAAAACTTAGTTCCCGCGTGCATCCATAATTTGATATACGCAAGCTAAGACCGATTCTTTTTTGTAAGTCCCCCCTCCCATATATTTATTTCCGAATATCTGCACCGCTTGACTTTACCTTAAGCAAGGAATAGTTTGAGGGAAAAAAGGTTCATTTTCAATTAGGGTGGAGGAAGCTACATTCCAGGGATACATCACTGCGATAATAGATGCTGCAACCAGAATCCCTGCCTCAAAGGGGGGGGGGGGTATGTCAGGAGATTTGTGACAATCACAGCCCCAGGTTTAACTGCACCTGTTCTTACAAATACACTGGTAAGCGTTGTGGTCACGCTACACATCCAAGAAACTGCAAAGACATCGCTGACAACGGAGCTTCAGAATCAGGAAGATACGATATTTTTGATTCAGCCAGTAAACCGTTTTCTGTTTACTGTGACTTGCAGTTATTCTGTCTTTTATTGGTTGTGATTGCTTTTTGATTTGTTTATTTTTACCAACATAGGCCTTTGGTTTCTCGGAAATCTTTTTTTTGAAATCGAAGAAATTGATTTTGAGTCTCGTTACAGCCGCTTCCCATAAGATGTTTGGTTGTATGACGTTGATAGAACGATTTTTCAGCGATTATTGTCAAACCGAAACAATATAGACAGCTAATCAGAACAAAATACGATATTACAGGAACCATTAGGAATTCAAAGAGAAACAAGCAAACCGTTGTAATCTGAGATTTTTTTAGCTATGCATTGCTTAGGTAGGAGATTAGCCTGAATTCTCTATACCAAAAATGCAAATGAGTGAAAATGAATGGCATGGTACGAGAACGTGACAACATGAACCTTCCACGTTCTTAAAGCGTGAGACGACCGGAAGTCTATTGTCAGAATATTATAAACTATACAGTGTAGCAAATGTTGACGATTCGACACGATTCGACTCAAATCGAACGACTCGTCACAGCAAATGACAATCCGTCATACCGGATGTAAATGAACATCCAGTATGACGGGTTGTCTTTTGTGGTGACGAGTCGTTCGATTCAAGTCGAATCGTGTCGATTTGACAACATTTACAACCCCCCTTCACAGACACTTGCGGAATATTTTCTTAGTGTCTTGCAAATCGACATCCGGTATCACGGGTCGTTCGATTCGAGTCGATTCGACAACATCTTCAACCCCCTATCGCAGACACTTGTGGAATATTTCTAAGTCTCTTACAAATTGACTTCCGGTATGCGTTTCCATGTTTTTAGAGATGGTTTCTCAGAACTCCGGTATCACAACACCACTTAGCCGCGAATCGATTTCCGGTTTGACGATTCGCAGCGGTTTGGGTGTATTGGACAACCCTCCTCAGTTATTAAATGATTTAGAAATTTTTACTCTTTTATTGTGGGTCTGTTCGCTTTGCCGTATTTTGATGCACAAACAACTTCACGGACGATCATTTCAAGGCCTAGCTGTGCGTGTTCGTGTGGGGTGAATGACTACAGGAAGAAAAAAATAACTTAACATCAACAATAATGCCTGGAGAAATAGTAAAATTGGTTCGGGTGATATTTGATTTCGATGTTATTATTATTACTTTCAGTTTTGATGACTAGTAGACTCTCCAAATGTGAAGTCTGACCTAATTCTCTCCTTCTCTAGTTGACGCTTTTAAACTGTGAATGGATGGCGTGCGGTCTTGGATAATTCATATCATTCGGTCCCTCTTTTAAATAATGACAACTTTACATAATTTAAAGAAGTATCAATGATGACAAGTGTCCCATATTATCATCTTTGTTCCCTATTAGCACATCTTTCTAGAAAAGGGTCAGAGTTTGAGAACGACTTTGTGATATGTTACCATTTTTTCATGCATTTTTCTAAATTTATGAGTGAAACTTTATACATCATTGGGCGATTGAAACTCTTAGTGAAACATCAATAGCAAACTGGGTTGATTAAAACAAGTTGGACAAATAATAACCAGACCAATTATTGGTTCTAGTTTGAAAACATGGATAAGTTGAGCGAGTAACGAACGTAAAACTTTCCATCTCTTATCAATTACAACGTGGCGCTGATAAAAGAAAAATAGCCTTCGGTGCCCATTTCCACATGCAAGCTTAGAGGGTTCTGGGCGTTGACTCATCTTCCGTGCAGCAGTTGACTGATGTAATAATCACGCTAATGTAGAACTTAAATAACTGCGACAATATTGATAAGTCAATTTAACCTTGACTGGAATATATTCGAAACACCTGATTGTAAAGAAGTCTCACCTATCGGTGCTACTACGGTCCACAGGCTATCGATTTTCATTCACACCGCAGATATTTGCTTTGATTTTGTACACAGAATCGTCACAGTGACTTTCAAAACATGGATAAAAATTAATATAGACTGTACAAATGTTTACTTAATACTAAATACAAAAAGAATAAAAAATAAAATAAAATAAGGCTAAAAAATACTATATGTGGATATTAAAATTAGCATCACACATGATAAAGCCATTAGGAAAAAGCGGCGTTGTACATGATAAAACTATTCTTCAGTCTATTTGTTCTGCAAAAAGGTACGTTAAAAGCGCGCTTTCTCCTTAAGGTTACGGTAGTAAGATAACATGACGGCAAAAGGCCATGTAATTTGTCGCAGGTGTTGTCTTTGATCTCACTGAAAAGGCGCTCCGTCAGCAATTGGCGCCGTTGGTAGAGGGTGGCAATAGGGATTTTAAGATACGGTCACTACGGACTACGGACTACGTCTGGGCGTGAGAATCCAAGCCACGCGTGGACTGGGCCGACTACGCTAAAAGGGCGCGAAAATTGGAGTGTTGTTTGACGTTAAGATCGTGACAACGACTACAGACTACGGCTGCACTTGGAAAAAAAATGTTCTTCGAAGATGCTAGAAACGCCCTTTTAATCGCTTATGCGGATGGTTTTCTGGATGATGAAGAGTTTATTGTTCTTTACGATTATTACCAACCCGTTAATCCTTCATTTCCGTACTGGAATTTTGATCCATTCTGTTTGGATGTGTTCGACTCTTGCGAGTGCGAAGCTCACTTCAGGGTGGCCAAGGATGATATTCCGATGTTATTGAACGCATTGCGGATTCCGGCGAGTTTCAAGTGCCCACAGGGAACAGTTTGCAGTGGCTTAGAAGGACTTTGTTTACTGCTAAAACGACTAGCATACCCATGCCGCTATTTCGATTTAATTTCAACTTTTGGACGTCCGCATCTCCTGTTGACATCCTAATCTGCTTGTAAACAACAACAGAATTCAAAGGGCGTCAGTAATCAGAACCAGAAACAGAAAAAAATGCGATTTTTACTTCTTTTTCGCTCAAGTTTAATTGCCTAAAGACTGTTCAACATAAAAGTAGCGTTTAGAAAACAAAAATGGTCAAAAATCGGCAAAAAAATACTTACGTAGTCCTCACTACGCGAATCTCCTCGACTACTCCCCGTAGCCTGCAACCACACGACGGACTGCGAAACCCACGTGCTATCGAGCATGTGCAGTAAATCTCGAACCAGGTCCTCGCCGTGTATTACCGTAGTCCGTAGTGACCGTATCTTAAACTCCCTAATATTGCACTCTTTAAGAGCTTCTTGGTAGCTTAAGACTGGGAAAATTATTGCACGGCGCTGAATATTCTCTAGCTCTTCAGAGAGATAC